CACACAAACACACACACAAGGTTCCTTTCAGGAGAACACTCAAAACAGCTCAATTTAACTAATATAACACTAACATCTCTGTATTAAATAGTTTGTTTTTTAAAAATGTCCCCATGAAATATTAGACTAGCACTCGCTTTGATAGGAATTAATTCCAGATGTTTATTTCCACTGCGAGTTTAATTTAGCAACTTAATCCAACATTGTTAAATTAATTACATCTCATACATTATACAGAAGCACACACACATAAATGAAACACTTCCTAACTTCATTAAAATAAATGCTATACTAAGGTCTTAACCTCATAAATAATGTCTTATGGTTTTGCATGGAAATGGTGTGCTCTGGGTCTGAATCGGTAGAACTGAAGAGGCCCCTCGGCTGATTTAATCTTCACTTCTATTCCTTTGATGCTGGCAGTACCAAGGTGTAGGATGCTACAGCCCAAGAAGAACCACCAGCAACCCTTGGCTTGAAATAATCAGATCTGGGGTTATTAACTCTGATACCCACAATGACAAAAGCGTCTGAAGGAAAAATCAGTGCTAAATGTTAAATGGGATCAGGAAAAAGAAACTGTGAAGAAGGTCTGGGAGGAACTTGGAAACGGAGAAAGAATAAAGTCTTTTTCTTCTCTTTAGGCCTTGAATATTCAGCACAAACTTCGTAGCTTAAGTGCAGAAACAGTTTCTTTTTTGACTGTCGTGAAAAATATGTCAAGAAGCTTTTAGACGCACTCCAGTGCTCTCTGCTGCAGAAGATATTCACGGGCTTTTATGGACTAGTGGAACACAAACAGTGCCCCCCACCTCCTCTGGACCTCTGATCTGGGCCAAGGGAGAATCAAGAGGGACATTTGTGCAGGCTGAGCATCTCTTCAAAGGTGCTGAAAGCTGCTGAGCGGACTGGAGCATTCTCAAGACCACACCTGAAAGACCCCACTTAGCTGTCTGAAGTGAAGAGCGTAGCTAAGAGGCTCAAGCGGGGTTCTGAATAGCTGACGAATATAAACAAAGGTATTGAGACACTCAAGGGAGTAACCAGGGACGCTCATCCCATATTTTACGACTCACCCTTAGAACATTTCATGGATGCATTTGTCAGCTACAAAAAGGATGCTGCCTGCCTTGAGCAGGGGATTTTAATAAGCATCAACAGAACCATCTCTCTTTTGAAAAAGTTCAGAGCAGAGCAACTAAGGTGATCAAAGGCCAGGAGCAGAGGTAGGATTCAAATAATTTAACAACCGGTTTTCTGCCATAATGATTTCTTCCAGCAAGAGTCATCTGTGTGTGCTTTCTGGATTTGAATTTCTGCTGCAAAATCTAACAAGGAAAAACTTCCTAACAGTGAGAACAATTAACCAGTGGAACAGCTTGCCTTCAGAAAACGTGGGCACTTCATCACGGGAGATTTTTAAGAGGAGACTGGACAGCTACTTGTCTGAAATGGTATAGGGTTTTTTGCTCGAGCAAGGGGCTGGACTAGAAGACCTCCAAGGACCCTTCCAGCTCGATTCTATTCTAATTCTAATCCAAAGAGAAACCCAAGTCCACAGACTGAGCAAATAAACATCATAAAAACTCTTCCTTGCTGAAACTCTTTATTATTGCATGAAGACAACTCCCAAGGAATACTCAATGAACCCTGTGGCACAATATATCTTTCTGGAATCACCACATACTCATATTCTTTTCAGCAGGCTTCTCAGAAATAGCTCCAATTTGTAACAGGGGGATGAGGATGGATGTTATCTGAATTCACTGGTCTTCCTTCTTGAAAAGAAATTAAATCCTAAATGAATTATTTACAACAAAATATGCAACCGACAGTGAGTAAAACTGATTGGGTTGGGTTTTGCTAGACTTATTCAGCATCCAATAAGTCTATTTGTCACCTTCTTTGAAAACGTGAGGCATTCTCTCTGTACTTATTCTTGTCTCTCTTTTAACTATCTCCCTACCGTTTCCTCATTTTGTACATGATTATGGAATGGCTTACAGAACTCATGTAAAACAGTTGACTGATGAGTTTCCAGATGAAAGCCACAAGGCTGAGATTCACAGTAGGAGCAATGTTTGTGATCTTGGAAGCAGATCCTTCAAGCTTGTAATCTAGGCTGGTGACATGTTGCACTGTTCACTTAAGTATTATATTTCTGGATATGGACTTCCAAAACCATAAAGCAGATGTAGGCACCTATGATCCCTACAAAGCCTTATCCCCGCTCAAAGAAACAGCACTCCTTGAAAAAAGTGTTATCTGAATTGTGGTAATTATTTCAGCTAAAAACATGGACTAGCCTTTATTATAATGTTTGAATGGCAATGATAGAGAGCTACGAATATGACTGCTGGTACGAGAGGAGAAACAGCCAACGGGGAGTGGAAATGTGACTCCGGAGGTTGTGGAGGAGGCTGGGGAAGGGCAGAGGCCGGCTGAGGAGTTAGAGGAGGACCCACGCCCATTCCCTCTCCATCCTAGGGCACGCAGGGAGGAGAGGATAAGGGAGAAAGGTGGTCTCCTCTGGAGGAGAGGGCCTTGATCCTCTTCATGGGCTGCAGGTGTGACAACTGAATAAGAAGACGGACCTGCGTACTGGCAAATGCTGGAAACAAATCATGTAAATATCTCTAGTTTATAGTTCCTCTCTGAGTTTGGCGTCTTTCCCAGTGTGTGTTATCTGTGGACGTCCTCCAGCCCTTATCTTGCCTGGTTTGTGTTGCTTTTTTCCTTCTTCTTGTAACTGTTTGTGTGGGAGTTTTTCGTCTTCTGTCAAGAATATTCAGAACTTGGAAGTAAAGTGAAGGAATAAAAGGGGCTTCACCTGTTTTCTGTGACTGTGTTTGTTTTGTTTCCCACCCTGGGTCATCACAATGGCTTTATGTCAAGTAACCTCTAGTCCTACATATGCTGGCAGTCATAACACCATAAGAGAGTTGGAAGGAAACTTGAAGGTCTTCTAGTTCAATCAGATAGCTGATCATATACCTTTGATGGTGAACCTTTTCCACATTGTGTGCCAAAAGTGCACGCATGTGTGCGCATTCGTGTGCCTGCATCCATGATGTAATGTGCACGCGACTCCCCCCGCCCACTGCAAATGCGCCTGTGTCCCTGCGCATGCATGCGTGACCCCCCCATGCCGCATGCCTCTGCGCATGCATCTTCCACGCGTGCATCTTCCCCCGCAGATGCATGGCAGATACCCAACAACCAGCTGGCTGGTGGGACGTGCGCACGCATACACGGTGAGGTTGTTCCGGGTGACCTCGCGTGTGCCATAGGTTTGCCATCACGGTCCTATACCACTCCAGACAAGTGGCTGTCTAGCCTCTTCTTATAAGTCTCCAGTGGTGGAGCACCACAAGTTCTGAAGACAAGCCATTCCACTGGTTAATTGCTCCTACTATTAGGAAGTTTTTTGGTTCTGGGTTGCTTTTCTCGTTGATTAGATTCCATCCCTTGTCTTGCCTTCTGGTGTTTTGGAAAATAGATTGATCTCCTCTTCTTTTCTCTCGTGTTTCTCTCAAAGTAGCTGATGGATGGAGGACAATTACTGGGGTCAGATCATGTAAATGATCAATGGGAGGACCTTGATGGAGAGAGGGGATGCTGTACCAAGGAACAAGCAGATAAAAATTGCAGAAGCCCATAGGAGGAAAATGCAAACACCTCAGGCTTCCCCCTTCAAGTTTACACGAAAGGTAAGAGAGAAAGAAGCACATTCAGGCTTGCAAGGTTCTGTTACTATACCCAATTTTAATTTTAGGCACAGACACAATGCCTGTTTCTTGATCTGGTCTACTTTGTAGGGCAGACATTATGAATTTCTTGGTCCTTATGAGATTCACTGCCACCTGGGATCTCCCACTGATGAACACACAGATGGTGAATATTACATCTAGTGTACTTTATGATTCCAGATGGGTTTCAGCTGAGACTGGGGAATTTCCACAACAACTGGCAGATAGGACCAATGATTGTTTGAATAACTGCCGGTAGTTACTGACTCTCGGAAACATCCAACACTGGTGTTGTAGGCCTGCATTAGCTATTGATAAGTTTTCAGGTGCAATTCAAAGTGCTGGTTTTGTCAGGCTCCAAAAACCAAGAGGGATACGCTGAGGTTGTTCTAAGTAGTTTCCTTTACTGGGCTTCACCTATAGACAGAAATCTTGCCAGTCTAACGCAGATGATTTGCACCATAAAACATATTTTCTGAGAACTCCCACGGAGGAGCTGCCTTTATCTTCTTTCTCCCACACAAACCGTCTCAACTTTGCTTGGGTTTCTTCTTCTTCTTTTCCTTCTTCTCCTCTGGAATGCACTTCCTGCCTCTTGGGAATCCAGATTAAATCCCACCACAGATTTTTGACTGATAAAACTGTAAATGGCTCAGTGCCTAAATGCACCACAGGTCATCTTCTCTGAATTGAATCAATGAATCTTCCCAGCCGCGATTATTATTCCAGGAAAGGCTGGGGACTCCTCGCTTCCAATGGGAGGAGAGGAAACTAGGAGGTGCTTTCTCGTCTCCAGTTTTTATGGAACAGGCTCCCTTTACAAATTAAATTGGTATCTTCGTTAATGCCTTCCCAGAAGACATCAACAAACACTTTTCCGAAGGGCTTTTGATGATTCTCCTTTCGCCGTCATTTTTACTATTATGGTTGTTTTTGGACTGGCGGTTGATGTTCTGACAATTATTGTAATTATGTTTTGATTTAATTGTCTTAATTAGTTTATTTACCATGGATGCTTTAATTGTATTTGTAATGTGCATGTTTTAATCATTAGTTGTAAACCACCACGAATCCTTGGTGGATTCAGCATGTTAGATATATAACGAAACAACAACAAAAAAACCCGCACACAAATGCCGTTTGCAGTTAAAGGAAAAACTATCACAAGGTTAGCAAAGGTTTGGTTTTGAAAGCTACAAAAGACTTGGATTTCAGGACAATCTGAAGTGCCACAAAAAGACGTGGGTTTTCTTCCTTTAATTTGAAAAGTTAGCCATTAAAAATAATTAATGGGTAATTTCTGTACATTTATAGCTTCCTAAATGCAGGTACTATTACTTCTTTTATTTCCAGCTTTTTTTTCTCCCAACAAACCACCTGCCAACCAAAGTAACTTATTTAATTGCATAGCTATTTTCTTTCATTCAGTTTAGGTCAGGGTTTTTTTTTGCGTAGATATTGGGAAAGTTCTAAGGTTGATTCGGGAGAACAGAGTGACCCTGATCTAATAGCAGGGCACATTTAAATCATTATTGCCCTTGTATATTAGACACTCCTGGATCTCATTATGTGCAATCTATCGGGACAGATGAGTCTGCAATTCAGGAGAAATTGAGCTGCCCAGATGAGGCGTAGTAACCCGACTGGTCAGTGGAGAATCGCTGTGAGAGACAGATGGAATTCAGCTGTACTTCTCCAAATTCGAAGTTCTCAAAGAGCTGAAAGAGAGGAGAGAGGAAATCATGAAAAATTATAAACCTCAAAAGAGTACAATGGGTATACGTGTGTGTGTGATGCTGGTAAACAAAGAATGTTCTTTCTGCGCCAACTCAGAAAGCTCAAACTGCCCAAGGAGCTGCTGATCCAGTTCCACAGAGGAATTATTGAGTCTGTCATCTGCACCTCTATAACTGTCTGGTTTGGTTCTGCAACCCAACAGGACAGACACAGACTTCAGAGGATAATTAGGACTGCAGAAAAAAACAATTACTGCCAACCTGCCTTCAGTCGAGGACCTGTATATTGCATGAGTCAAAAAGAGGGCTGTGAAAATATTTACAGACCCGTCACACCCCGGACATAAACTGTTTCAACTCCTTCCCTCAAAATAACGCTATAGAGCACTGCACACCAGAACAACTAAACACAAGGACAGTTTTTTCCTGAACGCCATCACTCTGCTAAACAAATAATTCCCTTAACATTGTCCAACTATTTACAAATCTGCACTACTATTACTATTAATCTTCTCATCACTCATCACTAGTATGATTTGATTGCTTATTCTACCCTGTGACTATTGTGTTGTACCTCATGATTCTTGATGAATGTATCTTTTCTTTTATGTACACTGAGAGCATTTGCACCAAGACAAATCCCTTGTGTGTCCAATCACACTTGGCCAACAAAGAATTCTATTCTATTCTATTCTATTCTATTCTATTCTATTCTATTCTATTCTATTCTATTCTATTCTATTCTATTCTATTCTATCATCCAACATATAATTGATACACCTTCCATGATTTTCTTTTTCCCTTCCCCTTTCCCTGACCCACATTGAAAGAACTTGTAAACATGATTTTTTAAAACTTATCAAGATATATATCTTTTTACCCAACAGGAAGGGAGTTTCTGAAACTTTATTTATAGCAGAGTACCAACAATACTTTTGCTCCATTTGATCTATTGCCGGAAGAGGCCAAACCCAGCCTCTTGGCTGACAGCTATTAACCTACATTGCATTGCCAAAAAATTCATTTCGAAAAGGTGTAGAAAAGAAGGCCAGGCAACTAGGAGATGCGTAGTTTTCTCTACGACAGTCTCTACGGGGAGCTGGGTCCATCACTTCATGTTTTCCTAGCTAGTGAGGCTCTAATGTAAAGTTAGTAATATACATTTACAAGGGACTAGCGAGGAAGAATCTGAGAATAAGTAAGAAGATTATGAATAAATATTTGTATATATGTATGTATGTATGTTTCTTTGGGTACACCCATGTGTTTATACATGCACAGGGATACACTCAATTTGATTCTTCTTTGAGAATTATCAAAGGAATTACATGCAATATCTAAAGACAAAAACAATAATCCTCTCCTTGTTACAAACTTCATAATTCTTTTCCTTAAGAGCAACAAGAGTTGGAAGGGACTTTGGAGGTTTTCTAGTCATGTGGCACTCAGGTCTCGAACCTGTGCTGCCGGCTTTCCAGCTGACAAGCCTAGCGTTTTAACCGCTGAGCCACTGTGCACCCCACAACTTCTGGAGGCATGAATAAATCTGCAAGGAGTATTTAGTATTGCTGCCAAGGGCTACACAGAATAGTATCTGGCCTATGGCCCATCAGTAAATCATCTCTGTTTCTGATATTTCACATTTCTTGTTTACACAATCTTCTGGAAGACATAAAAAGAAAAATAATAGTCGCTATCAGCTCGCCAAACCAACATGCTCCTTTTCTTAAAAGTCTCTTTCTACTGAAATACGATTGTAGCTCTTCATCACACAAGAGAAGTTTAATTACGACTTCCACAGATTACACAAAGAAGGCCTGTACATCAAGGAAGATAGAATTTTGGCACCAAGATCCAACAATAAACCTTTAATTTGCTTAGTCAAGACTGAGTAGGCGTTTTTGCGATGGGGGAGGAGGGTAATGGGGCAAGGAGATAAATTTCTAATTTATGTAGATTACTAACCTGCAATTAGTGTGTCCATCTACATCCATCTATGGCCAGTTTGTCCAAGTCAGAATAATGAAATGAGAAACACGATGCTCTTGTTCCAAATACCAGCAATAGAGCTGTTCAAGGGCATTTGCACACTTAGGTATATAAAGTTCAGGAGAAAGCTGCTTCAGCAATTAGCATAATACTGGAGACAGATTTTGTGCGTGCGTGTGTGTACATTATTGTAAGAACTCAGTAGTATTGCTTTGAAGAACCATCACATTCAAGTGGTTTTCTTCATTCCATTAAAGAAGCAGGAAATTGCTCTGCCTTAAAATGAAAGTAACTCTTTGAGAAAATCTTTGAACAACTGCATTAATTTCTGAGTCAGCTGAACTTTGCTGTGCCAAGGGTCAACAAAAGCTGAATAATCTAGTTTCCCCATTAAGACAATCTTAAAAATCTATACTCCATCTGAGTACTTCTGCATTTTTACATCTGTTCCCCAACCCTTAGTTCAAAATGGGTTATATCAGTGGCCCCCAACCTGTTTTGTGCCATAGCCTGGTACCGGCATCACAAAATGATCCGCGGCCCGGTACCGGCATCAGCATGCATGGCAAGGCAAGCCGAGCGACCGGCCAGCCAGCGGTCCCCCACTTCTCCCCGCCACCTTCAACTCCTCCTTTGTACCTTTGTCGATGGGCTTCAGGACAGCTTCAGGACGGTCGCTCGGCTCGCCTTGTCTTGGGTGCTGAAAGAATCCTCACGCCTTAGTTTTGTTCGAAGCCGCCTTCCCCCGCTTTGATGAAACTAAGGTGCAAGGATTCCTTCAGGACCCAAACGCCGCTTTCCAACCAGAAAAGCTCACCGGAAGCACTTTCTCATCAAAACAAGATGGCGGCGCCCAGCAAACCTGCGGCCTGGTAGAAAATATTCCACGGACTGGTACCGGTCCAGGGCCCGGTGGTTGGGGACCCCTGGGTTATATAACAGAGGTGGTATTCAGCAGGTTCCGACCAGTTCTGGAGAACCGGTAGCAGAAATTTTGAGTAGTCCAGAGAACCGGAAAACACCACCTCTGACTGGAGATTTTACAGTATCCTTCCCCTGCCACGTCGACTAAGCCACGCCCACAGAAACGGTAGTAAAAAAAAATTGAATCCCACCACTGTTATATATCCAACTCTTCTTGCCATTAAGTTCAAAGTCATCCCAGTAGCTTTGAAAAAGCCTACAGTTTCATTATCCTTTATCTATTCCTAGTTAACAACCCAAGGATTGTCTACTGAAGTCTACTTTAGTTTAGTTTTTATTGTCATTGCACCTCATACAACAAAATTAAATATCATCTTCGGTGTCCATTTTGACTATGAAAATAAACACAAACACACATCCTTCTCCCTTCACACACTGAACTGGAAACCCCCGACACCACACCAACCCTGCACCATACAGTAGAATTCAAAAGAGCTACTGCCCTGGGATAGAAGCTGTTTTTCAGCCTATTTGTCCTTGTTTTTATTATTCTTTACCATCTGCCAGAGGGTAATAGTTCAAAAAAAGGGTTCCCAGGATGAGGTGGATCCTTGAGAATGTTTTGAATTTTCTTAAGGCAGCAGGAGCTATAAAGCTCTTCCAAAGAGGGAAGAGGGCAACGAATGATCTTCTGGGCAATGACGTTAACCCTCTGGAGTGCTGTCCTATCTGCCCCTGTGCAATTGGCAGGGCCTGCAGTAAGGTTAAATACTCTCTATAGTGCAGCGGTAGAAGGTCACCAGCAGTTTTTCATTCAATTGTTGTTTTCTGAGAAGTCTCAGGTCGTATAATCTCTGCTGGGCCCTTTTGACCAGAGCTGCAATGTGAGCACCCCAGGTCAGGTCCTCTTTTATGGTAACACCCAGAAACTTAAAACTGGCCACTTACTCCACTTGGTCTCCATTGATAAGCAAGGGGTGGATGTCTGATCTGTTCCTTCTATAGTCCACTATAAGCTCCTTGGTCTTATTGGTGTTGAGGACCAAGTTATTGTCTCCACACCACGAAAGCAACCAGTCTACCTCATCTCGGTAGGCAGACTCCCCCCTCCCCCCCCGAGATGAGACCCACCACTGTTGTATCATCTGCAAATTTAGTTATAGTATTACTAAGCCTGAGTGGGAAGGTATAGGTAAAGGTCTCCCTATCCAATCATATCCAACTTTAGGAGGTGGTCTCATCTCTGTTTCTTGGCCAAGGGAACCAGCATTGTCCAAAGACATTTTCTATGGTCATGTAGCCAAAGATTCACAGAATACTATTATCTTTCCACCAAGGTGGTACCTATTTATATACTTGCATTTGCATGCTTGAGAACTGGTAGGTGGGCAGGAGCTGGGACAGGAATGGGAGCTCACCCCGTTGTGTGCCTCTCGGGCCTCAATCCCAGGCTGTCAGTATTGAAATTCAAATATCTGTTAATGCATTTCCAGAAAAATACTGAGTTCTCCCCAACACTGATGATCTTAAATTGCTTTTTATTGGCTTTTGGCTATTTATTTTATCTTCTATTATATGACCCGTTTAGTTCCATGCAAAAATTTAAGCACCGCTGATCAAGCTGAATAGAATAGAAGCAGAGACAAACTTCATGTGATACGAAGTTAAGCAGGTATCTTTTTGCTCATCTCAATGGGTATTTGCTAATTACGTGTGGTTGTTTTTGGATTAAAAATAAGCAAATAGTAAATGTAGCAGGTACAGAAGTTTGATCATCCTTCTTGGTGATTCAGCTTTATTTTGAAAGCTTGGAAGAGACCAACAATACTGAAAAAGCAATCGAATTGTGAGACAGAAGGAAGGAATCAAAGACAACTCCACGAGTGAACAAATACTGCAACCCCTCATTAACTACTTACTTTGAACAACATGAGCTCCTCTAAGCAGTTGTCTCAGCAACTGAAAATTAAGATAATTCACCTTTACAAAGCAGGGCTGTTAAAAAAAACCCCTCTAAATATCTCCAAGTAGAAATTTCAACTGTGAGAAATGCTGTTAAATAATGGAAC